TCAAACTATTTGAGGAAATTGTTTTTTCCCTTCCAGTTTTTACTTATGACAGAATGATTGATTACAGTCCTCTGCCAAAAAGAAAAAAAAGAAAAGAAAAACCACTTGGCATGTTAAATTCTTTCTCAATGATTTTGTGAAGCCTGCAGCTTAAACCTAGCTGGAGGGAATATTCATGTGAGAGGTCAGGCAGCAGGGAGCTCACCTTTGCACTACGGGTCCAGCCTTCCTTGGTCAGCCCCAAGCAAGATGGGTTTTTCTTGTGAGCTTCATAAGGCTTATTGCTCACAGCTACATGGCTCCTTATTTCTATTTCTGGCACTTTATTTATTTATTTATTTATTTATTTATTTTTTACCTTAGGCTCTCTAGGATCTTCAGTTAGAGGGGAAAGTAATGATAAAGTCACTCATGACATTGCATTAAAGATTCAAGAACTGTTCTCGCTTATAAGGCCCTAGAAGAATGTAGTGTTTCTTGGTTGTATTGTTTGTTTGCTTTTGTTTTTTTAAGGGCTGATCCACAAACACACAAGTTAATACTGAAATATAAAGAAACAATGAGAGGTTTAGGATAGTTAGGAGAGGGGAGGGACTGTTGAGTACCTCCAGAAAGAGGTATAGTGTGCTCAATATGACTGGGTTAGTTCCTTATTTTCTGATGGGTATCAGAAAGTTTATCAGAGTTAGACAGGGGATGTTAACATATTACAGAAGGGATGGAGGGAGAGACACAAGGAGGGAGATTCACCAGTTCAGTAAAACCCTAAAAGATCCTCCCATTCAACTTCTCATCTGTCTCAGGACACATATGTTCTGAGTTGCTCAAAGTCCAAAGGCAGAATAGGGGCTCTGGTGTGGCACAGCATATGCTTTGGACACAAGCTTCCAACTCCAGCAATACGGAAAGGGAGGGTAGGGAGATAGAATGGATCTCATGTCAAGAGTGAACTAATGCTTCTAACAGATGACAGTTGTTTACACTTTTTGTGTCATGCTGTGCTTTCACATGAAACTAAAATGTTTTAATGAAGCATCATTTTTCCTTTCTAGACTCATTCAGTAGGTTCAGTGATCGGAACTTTGATATCCATGAGCACAAGGAACTTGAATTTTCTAACATCACAAAACCAGACCCATAGTCCAGGGAAGCACACACCAGGTGCCCCCGATATGTATTCTCTTTCTAGCTTTAATCAGTACTGCCTTTTTTGAATAATGTAACTGTCCAAACCAGTGGTGCTAACCTATGGCACATGTGTGCATCAGGCTGTTTATAGCGTTGAAAGCTCTAAAAGGTTCACCATTACCGAACAATCTTTTCCTTTGTCTTTTTTTTTAAGGGCTGTGACTTACAGTTTGCATACTGCTACACTAACAAAGATACCACCATAGGAGTGTTTTTATGTTTTGTTTTTCTCCCAGGACAAAGAATCACATGTTTTGTGCCAAGGCATGAATTCTTTTGTAACTTTGAGGCTCTTTAAAATAAGCTTATATTATTCAACAGATAGATATGTAGGTGAAATTGATATTGCATTCCTAATTCCAATATTCCCATTAAATAAGAAAACATTTTGTGTTGCACATAAAGAAAACTCAAGTGGTGATTAATAGTTAAAATTTATCTTATGCAATCATTTTGCACATAACAGTCCATGACCTTCAATTTTCTTATGTACGTTTCAATAGTCCTAACACTTAAAATACAGAAAATATAGCACTTGTCCATAAATAGTAATAACTAGATAAAAGAACTTAATCAAAATGCTTCTAGTAATTATGCATTTTAATCACCAAAATCATTGACCTTTCCTTAGATCTCATAATGTTTGATATTCTTTTTCTTACTTTTGTGAAGTCGTTCTTAACTAATTGTGGGACTCTCTGAGCTTTAGTACTAAACCCTGAGTCATGGACAAACTAGGATGGCTGATCACCTTAACACCAGAGTGCCCTCTAGCTCCTGTCTAACTTCTGTCCTCCACATCAATGTTTCTAGTGAGTACTCTATTCTCTGTCTCCTCTTCTTGGCCTCTTGGTTCAGCCCTGGACTCAATGCAACTAGTCTTCTGCCTCTGTCACTTCATGGGACTTTGCAAGAATCATCAATAACTTTCAATTTTTCCCTACAGAAACTTACCAGTCTGCAACAGTGGACCCTGCTATTGGGCTCTGCACTGCTGATCACATCTTCCCTGAAGTCTTTACTCCTGAGGCTTCTATGGCAACACTGCTTCCTGGTCTGATGAGTTTTTTGAACTCTTATTTGTGGGCTGTCTCCCAATGCTTATTTTTTGAAAGATGATTTTCCTCTAGATTCTACACTTGATCATCTTCTCTTATGACTCTATAAATGCTTTCCTTGGCTGATCTCACACATTCTCCTGGTGTCAGCCAGTCCCTCTAGGATGATGACTTTTAAATTTATACTTCACATCTAGACTTCACTTTCTTGTGAACTACCTACCTGTGAAATATTTGTATGCCCTGTATGTAGGTTAATAATGTGGAAACATATACTATGACCTGTAATGACCTTCACTAAGATCTTCTTCCTTGTCATTGTTTATATATTCAGCAATTATTTACCCATGCCCAAAATTTTAATGCCATGTTTATTATATTCTCTTTCATCTCCATTTAAACAATTACTAACTTGTTCAATTTTACCTCATTAATAATTTTTATATTGGCCCCTTTTTTCCACTTTTGCTTCCATTTCCTAGAAAGTATGTTTTGTCTGAATCACTGACAAGCCTCCCAAATCATCACCTCCCCTTAGTTTGGCCTCAGATTCTTTTCTGTGTACTTAATCGTTTCCAGTACGTGAAAGACACTGAAGCGTTTGCCACAGCACTTACATAAGACTATGTGGATACTACTGTATTTACTATGTTGAGAGTATTATGATTTATACAATAATAACTTATTGTATTTACTATTTGTCTCCCCCATAAAACAGATGATTTGTCAAGAGGGAAGAAGTGTTTTATCTCTATGCCTCCTCTGTGGCCTGTGTGTGATATGGCCATATTAACTACTGTCCAGATAGATGTTCAGCACACTCTGCTTCTCCATTACTGTATGCTCTCCTATCTCTTCTTCTAGAGGGATGGAAGCACCTGATCCTATCTCTATATTTTCAAAAGGGCTTCACATATGGTTCACATTTAATAACTGGGCACACAATGAATGAATCAATGTTTATATTCTCACACAACTGCCTGCAGTGAATTGGCATTTTGAGACACAATCAAATATGCAATTCAGAAGCACTTTAAAAATGCAAGTAATTTAAAACATGTTTTTAAAAGTCTTTAGGTAGTTTAGAAAATATCTTTCTATATAAATATGATCAATTCATAAAGTATATATGTTAAATTTTCTTTAATGTGTTCAGTAAGCCTTTAATATTTGTATTTCTAAGAATGACTTAATCTTTGGAGCACAGACGGCCCCTTATATTTTGTATAATATCTGGGAATACATGAGCAAAACTCAGAGACTTAGGTAGCATATTTTAAAATGCCATAATGATGGATTTAGGGCAGTTAAAATTTTCCATCATATATTGTGTATGTATACAAATATATATGGTTTTTCACCACAATAATTTGAAACAGAATAACTGGAAGGAGAATTATATATTACTTGTAATGTTTGAGCACACAATAAATGCTTAAACTACCATGTGGGCTTTAACTTAGCTATATGTTCAAAAGTGAATTGCAACAGTTTTATGGAAGTTTAAATATACATATTTTACTAATTAATTTCTATTGAGATAAAATCCTATCAAGAATATGGGGAAGTTTTTTCTTCTAATTCATCTTCACACTCTCTTGTAGTAATACTAAGTCACTCTGATAATCTAACTAATGTGATGATGAACTATTATTACTAGTATGTGCCAGATACCTAGTATCTAGAGAAAAGAGATATAGTTTTCAACATATATTTTTTTCATTGGACTTAGTTTCAGATATTCTACCAAAAGTTTCATACAGTTTTTATACAGAGTAAAAATTATTTATCATGTCTTCTCTTTTATGAGAAATCAATATGTAGTATAATAGAGATAGAACTCTATAGCATTTTTAATGGGAAACTAAGATGAATGTAGATATTTTTAACTTTTACTATCATTAATATTAAACTAGCTGTTTATGTAATACAATCAATTAATAATAATAATAATGGATTATTTTTAAGTAATTTTTTTCTGCTTAATGGAAAAAGTTTTATACAATAAAAAATGTAATATAATTTAAATGTAGCACAGTAGGCCTCATAATATGTACCAGAAGTGTTCACTGAAATCAGGATAAGTCTTCACATTCATATGTAAGTAGAGGGCTGGGGATTTAGCTCAGCGGCAAAAGCGCCTGCCTGGCATGCGCAAGGTCGTGAGTTCGGTTCCCGGTACCGGAGAAAAACCAAAAAAATAAAATAAAATAAAAGTTACATATGTAAGTAGATATGGTTGTGTAGTCACAGCTCTCCATATTTCTCAAAGTTTCAGAAATATAAGGGGAAAACAACTTGCATATTTGACGTTCAAAAATAGTTGAATTGTTTCTTAGGAGAGCTGTAATCCTCAAAAATTTGTGAGAGTGTTTATTTTCAGTAAGAACTTTTGCTTTGATTTCATATTTAAATGAACTGTTTCCTAACATATGTAGTTTTTAGAAAGTAACTCAAAATGGTTTCTACTCTATAGTTATAAGTACATGTAGGAAACCATTTCAGGACTCTTCAACATTCAGTCTTTTAGAGCAATCTTCATTTCTTTTCACTCAGAGGGAAATATATTATCTACTTAGGTGACTTAGGGGTAGAGATACGGTGGCTAGTTATCTTATTTTGTCCTAAATATTTTCTATGAAATAAAAGTCCCATGTTCTGGAAAATTCCTTAGTCCAAGAACAAACCTGGATAGTTGTCAACCCTACTGATAGATGAGCTAAACTTTGAAGTGTTGAGATAACAGAGCCTTACCTTAACATCATTAGTGTTCATTCTTGTTCCCTCCTTCCCCACAAATATGTCGTCGATGTCCACGAGGATGTACCTGTCCAAGGACAGTGTCAGTCTCTTCCTTGACAAGAAGGAAATGGCATCTATGAAGATGAGCTTGTGCAGCCAGAAGTTCAAGTTGTTGCCAAAGAGAACTCGCTGAATTCCATCATGAAGCCCCAGGTCATGTACGATAGTGGCATAAAAAGCACCTTTAGAGATGGGAGGGGAAAAGTTTTCTGGGGTCTTTACTTTGGCAAATATTACTGGTTGGTAGGTTGAGTGATTAATCTGAAAAACTGTCCAGTCAGATCCAGGTAAAGAACCTTTTTCAAGCTTCGAAGACTTGGTCACACGAAGCAGTGGAGAATGAGGATTAATACAACAATCTCTTACTGCAAGGTTTCCATACATGGAAAAAGGGAAACCTTTTAACTGAAAGCTTTGTAGACTCTTCTCACTAGTTTTGTGGAATCCAATGACACCCACACCATATTCTACACAGTATCTATCCAGAAGGCTTCGGTTCCAAGAGTCCATGTTAATATACTTTAAAATATTCTCATAAATAATGAGAATATATTTGCCTTTAGTTTTGTCTATAAGTGCTGGGAGATCTCCTTTTCCAGGAGCAATTTCAATGTGATATTGGAATCTGCTTGATTCTAGAATCATAATGATGTCTTGACCAAGGGAGGAGTACTGGCTTTCTACAAACACTAGGACTGTTGGATCTGTCCTTGAGGCATCAAAGACCTTTGTTGCTTTCACTTCCATTAGCCGATAAGGTAGATGGTGGAAGTCACTACAGTCTACTTCTGAAGCCATCTCAGAGAGTTCATTTTCCTGTTTGTAGCCACTGTACAGATAGTAGGCAGAAATAATAATGCTCACCATACAAAAAGTGGCAAGCAGAAGCACTGTCCTTTGAAAGTGTCTGTGAAGCTTCATGATAAAACTCATGTTGTATATATTTTTCCTTGAGTATTCCAATAGACACACCACAAATAGGTAAACGAAAAGATGGTGTTTCGGCTTGCTTTCCCAGTCTCAGTCAATAGTTTATGTCACCATTGCAGCACATTTGTATTGCTTGAGCAGGACTCACAGAAAATATAGTCTGAAAAACAGAAAAAAACAGAATAGAATATAAGACATTCAATACATAGAATTAAAATGAGCAAGTTTTTATCTTGCATGAGGACTAGAGTAAGTGGCAAAGTAGTAAAACTACTAGGTAAATATAAATTAGCTAGAACTGATGTAAGCTAGAACTGAGGCGAGTTAGAAGATGGCTCTCTCTTTCTCCCAGATCTGGATAGGCATGAGGACTCCATTAAACACAGGATCTCTCTGCTTGATGCAGAAAAAGGTATTGGGCTCACAAGGAATTTCCTTCCACTCAGTGAGCTTTGTGTCAAACTATAGAAAATATATACATAAGTACAGGGAGAAGTTTCCCAAGCCATACACTGCCATTTCCTGCCATCCAGATATATATATCACATAATGCATATTCAAACTTTTTATGTCTAATTAGAAGCACTAAAATTTCACAAAAATTTGACCATAGTTTCATAAATACTGCAGTTGGAACACTAGTTTTTTTTCTGTTGTAGAAAGTTGTTGAAACAATGAATGCTATCCTATATACATTTTAAATTCACTACAGAAATAACTCTATGCTAGTTGCTTTCATTCGAATAACGATTTTAAAACGCAAACATGGGCTCTAGTTGGTCATTTTACAACTGTATGTTTACATAGTGAGGAATTTAAATTTCAGGAGGATCTTGTGGGTGATGACATGAGGTCAGTGGAGCTCTCTCTGGAGATCCCTCCGCTCTGGGTATGACGGCGCGCTCCGCTCAGGGGCACTGCAGCACGGTCCCGCACGTGCACTCTCCCCACCACCCGTCTCCGCTCTTCGGAGAGGGCTCAAGAACGATATGAAAAAGTACCACAGAAATGTTTGAAAGAACATAATAAAAACAATTGAAATGTCACAAAACACTTTAAGAAATAGTTTTTATTACTTTATTACTATGCGATAGTTTCAAACCCCTTTCAAGTCTTAGTGAGTTCTGAAAATTTAGTATCATTGAAAAATAATGAGAAAAAAAAAGAAAAATAATGAGAAAGAAACATATATTCCTAAACAAACTGGTTAGTAAAGCCTTACCATCTTGGCACTCTGCAAGGAAGTATTACAGAACATAAATGATTTAACAAGCCTTAGCCTTGTCTATAAGGTTGAAAACTGGCAAGACACCAGACACGGGCGGAAAACACTATAGTTGATGTCTGCCCTAAGTTTAAAGTTCACAGCACCTTTATTTCTTAACTTTGTCCTTTTCACCCCAGTACCTTCCAAATAAAATGATGAGGTCAGAATAAATGATCACTAAAAAATCTGCACTCATAATTCTATAATATTTACCTGTAAGATAAGCAGTGAACAGTATCTTCAATAATGTATTTTTATCTTTATGAATAATATATTCTGAAATATAACCACAAGACATTTATGATATTCACCCTATAAACTTTATCTTATAGTTTATTTATTCAAATAGTTTGGGTATTTATGTCAGTCATTCAAATATTCATAGGATAGCTATCTTCCTGTTTCAAAATGTAAATGCTCAGCACAGTGGATTTCTTCATAACAATCTACTTGGACAGGAGAGACTAGAATAGTAATGTATGGACTGTGGAAAACAGGCAAATGACCATAATGAGATGAGAGGAGAAAGAGAACGTGGCAAGTGAGGGAATCCGTGAAATGCCCTGGGGGTGTAGGATTTGGGCAAAGCCTTAAAGGACGAAGATGATTTGAATAGACACTTGAGATATATGCAATGCTATAGAGACAGGAATAAGCACAATATTGGGCAAGGGACATGAATGCAAGGAAAGGAAAAAATAAATACTTACAAAATGAATTTGACTGTGTGAGAGTACACACAAATCCAGAGAGATTTGATAGCACAGCGATTTATGGTTGTGAAAGCTCACAGGGAAACATACTTCCATGACTGGGGAAAAGCACGGTAAGAGCAAGATTTCTGAGGAATGAGAAAAACATGAAGGATATCATAGAGGAGTCTTAGAGAGTTTAGGCTGGCAAACTAGTACAGGCACATTTCTGGTAAGGTAGTCATGAATGTGGATGATCACAGGAAAGGGGAACATGGGAGTGGGGTAAGTCTGAGAATTACCTTGCTGCTCACTGAAGAGCACTTGGTGTGCAATGTGAGGTTTGTGGACACCATCGCTCTGCCAGGACAAATGTCATCATGTGACCTGTCACACTCTAGATTAAACCCAATAGAAAGATGAGCATTCTACTCTTCTAATCTTATGCTAAGCATAGATTGGGGAATAATTTAAATAAAAAATTATCTAACAATTGAGAGTTTTAATTGTAGCTGCAGTTATTTTATTTTCATAAATATTTGCACTTTTAAAGTTGTGTACATGTTTATGAATGTTATATTCTGGAGTATAACAACAGGATACAAAATCTCATATCCTTCCAAGTCTGTGTTGCAACTGTAGCTGTGAAATGGTTTTAACTGGATATTGAATGTACTGCCACATTTTGCATTTCAGATAGCAGCATTTCACAGTTTGTTCCCCTTGTCAGAAGAAAAAGGCATGCCATTCATATAATTTTTATCTCGGATGTGGCAGAGTGATGAAGCATATTTGCTCTATGTATTTAGAGTAGATATTAGGAATGGATCAAAATTATCTTTTCTGTTGGCAGATATAAAAGGATGAAGGACACTTCTTGTCTACTAAACTTTTCAAGTTTCTTCTGATGCCAGAAGGCATCCCATTACATGTCTCTGAAGGTAGGATCTGGTCTGCATATTTAAAGGGATAAATTAAGAGCCTCCTATTTTCTGCAAAGCTTTTTAAACTGCACATCTCACTGGGATGTGACCAATTTAGTTTCTGTGTGGACTCTTAGATTTACTTTTCATACAACCTTGTATTGGTTAGCTTTGTGTCACTGGGATGAAATGCACCCATGTTTTAAAGGAAGAGAGGTTTATTTTGGTTTGTGGTTTTTCAGAATTCAGTCCATGATTATTTGGCTGTAAGGCAGAAACAGCACACTGAATTCATGCTGCCAGGAAGCTGAGAAGGGTAACAGTGCCAAGAGGAAGAGGCCAGGGGCCAAATATAGTAGACATGGTCACCCTCTCTGACCCACCCCAAAGCACCCAAAATTGTGCTTTATTAATCCTCTGGGTGGCTCTCAAGCCAGTCAAGTTAATAGTCCAGCATAACTGTCAAAAACCTTATCCAGAAACAGCTAGCTCCTTACCTCTATTGTTTCTGTTAAATTTGCAAACCTCGGGATGGACTGCACTGTTGGTCTCGCTCTCTGTGCTCTAGGGAATGGCACCATAGCAGCATCAGAGGCAAAGCACATTCTTCTCCCAAGCCCTTGTTGGGAGGGGCATCACTAAGACAGGTAAATATGGAAAATTAAGATTCTCCACACAATTTCCACGTGAAAATTTCTCTGTCCTTCCAAACTTGGTAAGAATCAGTAGGCACACACAGTTACAGTAAAAAGTACCAATTGTTTGTAGTTATTGCCACAATTATAATTAAAATTTTGTTTAAAGTCATCCTTTCTGTTGGGCTAGATGCTCTAGAAGGTAATGTCTCATTTTTGCAATCATTTTGTCCCTCTGTAAGCACTCAATCACTATGGGAATTCATTGAATACAATGGTATATTATAATGACTACAGGTAGATTTTACATATCTACTTTATTCTAGTGCCATAACTTTTTAAAGTTTGTATGTGAATATTAATGTGAGTATAGCTAAACATAACATGAATATAGTGACACACATATTTCTTGGATTTAGTGTCTAGCTATTGAATAGTAAGTAAATATAATCATAGCAGTCCAAAATGTGATAAATCTAATACCATATTGTCTTTGTTATGAATATATAAATAGTAAAAATTTTATTATTATGGTATGTATGGTATGGCATAATTATGGTAAGGTAAATTTATAATCACATGCTATAAACATGAAGATACACATACCATATATATTATATAAACATACACTGTAAAGATATAAATCTTTACCACAAATATACCTACAATCATTCTACAAGCAGCCATCAGCTATCTATTGAACAACCACTTTAGGATTAGTGCTATACTTCATGCTGAGGGCACCTCAGAAGTAATATTAGGAATGATTCTTGGGTCTGCAAAGATGGATTCTACTGAGGGATATGAGACCTGTACAACAACAGCCATGACTCTACTGCACAAAACAAACTGTGATTATACTGTACAGACAGTATTTGTTATGGGTTGAAGAAAGGGACTGGGGAGAATATGGACTTAGCAAAGTCAGTGGCACTTTCTGAGACCCATGGGGCCTGGGAGACTGGTATCGTGGGCAAGCCTTGGCTGTGAGTATGTGGACAACACAGTGGGCAAAAATCACTGGCCAGATTGAAGAAATAAAAGAGTTACAATATGTTTACTAGAGTGAGCACAAACAAATTGTTGGACAATCTGTGTTGGGGTGAAGTTGGGAATAATATTTGGTTGAAGAGTGCTACAGATGAATGACTGTCTTTGGAAGTGCTATGAAGTATAAGAGTTTCAACCTGGAAATAGAGACCATCTGATACTTTTGACTAGAGACAAACATAGTGTTCAAAGGTGGTCTTTATAGCAAAAGAAACGAGAGTGGACAAACATTAGTAATAGGAACAGAGAGTCCATGTTACATAGTGCAGAGTGAAGCAGCAGGCAGAGTCAGGACAGTCCCAGCTGAGGGGCTGCTGCAGTAATCCATGTGGGAAGTTGTATGAGCTCAGAGTGAGGTGGTCATTAGAGAGAATGAAAGTGAAGAAACCAGTGGCAGGACAGCAGGGATGATGATATGGGAGTGGCAGGTTTGGGGACTAGAAGATAAAGGTGCCAGTAATAGAAATACAAAGCTTAGCATGGAAATTAGCTGGAGTGAGTGACATACATCTTGAATGCAGGAAGGTAGAATGACTAAAAGATGCATGGGGAAAATACTTGAATATAGGCAAATAAAGTCAAGAAAATGTTTG